GTTAATTGTTTATCTCGCAAATAATAGATATGTATGTATGTACATGTGTACTATATTTGTAAGCTGGTGAGTTGATGTTACTACATGATATTTAAAAATAACAGACATGTGTATTTCGAATATCGGATTGTGTCTCAATGGATCGCCTTAACTCAATTGCGCGGCAAATACTTGCACATAGGATGCACTAGAGGTACACTCGATGACGTCGTTCGGTAAATTTAACTCACAAGGTAGTATAAAATAGGCAAAAAGACATCTAAAAATGGAATAAAATAGCTAGTTCAAACATACATAAATATGTTTGTGTTTGTGCCATTTAGGTCTCTCACTCTAGGACATCCCGAGTCAATGTAAGAGGCCGAAGGAACTGGCAACAGTGTAAGACTTTGAACCACTTAAACACAAATTGGAGATTTTTTATACATAAGGTCTCTATATTTTAGTCTGTGAATCAATAAAATCTATGTACATACATATGCACCTATTCCATTGATTTATTGAATATCATTCCATGTCCAATCCAATTACCATTTCATAGAGATTTCAACAACATAAAAAATTTACTATGTGCACATAGATTATTGTGAACATAAGTTTAGATGCTGTGCCGTTCAATAGCATGAACGTGGCCCCCACGCCTATTGTGTTTGCCACTTGATATCAGTGTGCGCTCAGCTGTTGGCAGCTCAGGTGTTTGGACAAAAGTTGAGGTTTGTTAGCCCGTATTACGTGTGAAGCTGTCTAAAAGCCATGTATTTATTTATTGGCATTTATCGTGTCCGTGTATTTTAAATTTTTCATAAACTCTTTGGAGGTTAGCGTCTTTTTGTTGTTTATCTTTCGCACGCTCTTCGAATTGAAGAGTCAATTCGTTATGGATTGTTGTGAAATTATGTAGGATTGTTTTGTAATTTTTTATATACTTTAAATACTAGTCACGTTAAAATTCGGTCAGTTGTGGCCGAATCTCTTTGTGATATTCTTAAAATTATACACTGCGATTGCAGTTTCGTATATAAATATGTACATACATATATATTTTTAATCTATATTAATTGGGCAGAAAGTCAACGTAATGTATTATGTTACTTCCTTGGTTTCTAAGTTCTTACGTTTTATACCGATTCATTTAGTTTTCTACATATTTCATTTTATATCATATGTATATTTTACCCACAGTTCAGTTTTACCATATTTAGTTCGAAATTTAAATGAATTCCAATGCCGAATTCCAAAAAAAAAAATTCGAATATTCAAATTTAGAGACGTCAAAACAATATTTATTTATTGATGTACATACATATGTATTTTTGAATTGTTTGCAAATCTGGATACGTGAGTGCTGCGATGCAGCAAGTATTCCTGCTGAAATGGTGATTGTATTGTCTTTCGATATTCAATAAGTAAAGGTTTAATTGTAATATAAAATGTGACAAAATTTTAGGCTTTTTTGTGGCTTCATAATTACACTTCGATGCCTTGCATTTCAAGCCTCTGAGTCGCTGTCGCAGAGTGGAGATAACATTGAAAACGATGCCAAAGAGACAGTCGATTGGACTGGACTAATCACCGATCTACGAGATAGTTGGCAATCACCACTTTATTACCTAGAAAAACGTGGTTATCTGCCTCCAGGAAATGAAAATTTATTGGAGCAAAAACTAAACGAATTACGAGGCATAAAAATCAATGAACATAATTTAGACCAATTCGGAGAGAAAGCTGATGAGAATATGGAAGAACTTCCTAACGCCTTCTTAGCTTCTTCCACTGTATTAAGCTCAGCTGAGCCAGGTTCAATCAATTCCGTTGATGATGCTAACTGCAATCAAGCCATTATTACATCTGGTAGCCAGCAACAACAGCCGCAGGATGCTACAGACATTTTGTTCAAGGAATTTTCAGCTGATATGCATCCTGATGCTGGTACCGAAATAGACCGAGACTCTGAAGAAGATTTAGGAAGCCTCAAAAATAATATTGCAAACGCTTGTGCTAAAAAGCCGTCTACAGCCGCGACGAAATCCAAGTCCAAATCAAAGTTGAAATGTAAGTCCAAGACTAAGCCAAAATCCAAGACTGGATTTTTTCAAAGACTAAAGGAAAGCTTTTCATCAATATTTAAAAAACCCCAGACTGCGAATTCAAAAGATGAGCGGGTAGAAAAGCCTGCACTTTCATCGGATTATGCCAACTATTTTGTGAAGTTTTTGGCCCATAGAGACATGAATACAGATACGAACAATTTGAGCGTTAATGATTTAAATAGTCGATATGCTGGTATAAAAAGTTCTGGGAATTCAGAACGTGTTGGTATGGGTTTACACCGAAGAGAGTACAACAGCAAAGACTTAAATTCAAAGGTTTTAAATAATAAGGTTTCAACGGTTGGCGATCTAAGTGATAAACAAATATCATTGCAGACAAAGAACGATATTTCATTTGAAAAATTCAGTGACGAAGTAACAGGTAAAAAAGATTCGGGGTTGAAAGAGTTTCCATTCCAAGATTTCAACTTTGGAGATTTAAATTTAAAAAAGCTAAGTACAAAGGGTATCAGAAGTAACAACAAAGCACATGACCAGTTGTCTGATCTAGAAAACTTTAAATCGAAAGATGAAGAAGTTAATAATATCGTGCATGGTTTGGCGGAACAACAATCTACTGCAAAGGATCCGCTTAAGAACGAGAAATGGGAAACAAAAGGTGATTCTAGTTTGAAAGAGTTAGCACCGCCTAAGGACTTCGAAAATTTACTACTTGAAAATAATAAATTAATCCATGAAGATTATAAAGACCATAATGTGAAAGAGATCGTGCCAATTATAGCAGGTATTGAAGAAGTAATTGGGAATGGAAAGAAGGAAATGAGTTCTAAAAACGAAGTCTCTAATGAACTTACCGCCTCAAGTTTTAGCATGAGAAGACCGAATTTTGATGCGAAAGACGATACAAGCAAGCTTTTGAGTCTCAAGGATTTTGACTTTTCGTTTCCTGACTTAGATTTGAGGAGTTTGGCTTCTACCTCTAAAGATATCATATCCACAGATGATAGTTTTGATGGCTTCGCCAACTTGGGTATGTCCAGCCTTAAAATGAAGGTGCTTGAATCCAACGGGGAAGAAATTGATACTCCCACTGAGATTGAAAGTTCTGGTTTCGCTGCCAATGAAGACTTATCAAAAGAAAGCGATGTGAACGAATGCGGCATGCGGAAATCAGATGACACAAGCTTAAATATAAAGAGGCACAACGATAGGGTTGAACCCGGTTTGACGGAGGCTAAACAAACGAAAATAAATGGCTTCGTGTTAGGGGATCTATCAGCAATATCAGATAAAAATAATCTGGACTTAGATCGACAATTTACGAGGCAAGTTTTGGAAAAAGTTATGAGGAGTACAGTTCAAGAGCGTGAGCTTAACAAGCAGTAGATTGCGGTAATTACTATTTTGAAGTAGACATATTTTGTAGTCGTATTGATACCTTAAACAGTAATTATATTAATGGTGTTCAGTTGTAACAATTTATTTAAATAAACAGTTTTACGATTTTTGCATGCTTTGTATTTCCCCTCTTTCGTAGGTCAATCTCTTGAAATTTAACTGAAAATAAGATTACAGATAAAAATTTAACAAGCAGTATTGCTGCTGCCAATAGAAATAATTCTACTTCTATGCACAGACATATATTATAATGGACGAATGTCCACGGCAAATCAAAGATTTACAGGTGAAATAGTCATTTTCTGGCTTTTTAAGTTTTATATATGTACATGTGTGTATAAATTCAAAGAAAGCATTAACTCTTGACTTAAATAAATAATAAAATAAATTAAATATTTGTGTTTTTTTTTTCTTCATTGTTTATTCAGCTTCGCAAATAATTGATTATAGAAATATGTAGAATGTAAAAATCCTAAATTAAACAATGTGCTAATTATAAAATTTACAAAGCACACATGAGTAAGTAAATATTCGTAGTGTCTAAGTTAATTAATATATTTTGTGGGGGTCTTTAAAAAGTTCCAAAAATGTTTTATGGCCTCCGATCTAGTAAATTCGAAGCAAGGATGAGTATGCAGAAATATTTTGATGATATTTCTCATGCGCTCTATTTGCGCAAATAATAGCGATTTGAATTGTTTACATACACATATTGTTTTAAGACAATACATAGTGGATTTAACAAGTTCATTTCATATCTGAAATGTGTTGCGAAGACGCCATGTGTGTGTTGATGAGTGTAAACAAAATTACCCCTTTGCCCACACACTTAGCACACATATACATACGTAAGTATGTACATATGAACATGTGCATTTAGTGTTTAGGAAAGCTGTGATCTTCTCAGTGTGGCTTATTTATAGATGTGTTTACACCTATGTATGTTAATATCTTGTAAACTACGATTTATTATTTAAAGGGTTAGGGGATGAAGGATATGGTAAAAAGAGAAAACCAAAATGTTTGTTGATACTTCAGTTTTGTTTTTATGCAGCCGAAAAATATTTGCCAACATGACGAAAACAATCATCCCTTTGTATACGTATTCTTATATAGATTGTGGAGAAGTCCATATATGGACTGTGAATCCGCAAAAGAGTTTTGAGATGCTTCTATTTAAGCTGTTTCTGGAAGTACAACAATTACAAAGGGCCTTTGCATTTAAAATATTGCTCAACTCATTGTAAAAACCTAGGCTTCACAAAGATTTTACTGGTTGGAAAGATTCAATTTTGTTCTTAACAGAATAATATATGTCTGTATGTCTGTATGTTAATAGATACGAAAGCATGTGCTTTGTTTCTGTGGCTAAAAACTTCGCCTTTCATGCAGCTAATTGCCGTCCCTAAACTTTTAGTGGTTTATTGTCCCATACTTTAATTAAATATCTGTATAATCAAATGCCAAGATCAATATTTCTTTCATTAAATCGTATATAGATAGATACTTTTTGAACTTGCAATAAGATCCAATTTATTTAAATGCTATAACACTAATAATATAACTGATATAAGCAAATATATTTAAAGATTTTAAGTATTCAAGATTCAAAGTAGTCAATTTCGCAAGCAGAATGGAAGCTTCTTCCTTTTGCTGATCTTAAGATAACGTTGGAGGCGGACTTATTTTTAGGAGTGATTGCTAGTTGTGGTTAGAGAGAGGCCGCCTTTTCGTGGCGATGATGTAGTTGGCTTTATTGGTGACTTCTTCAGATTAACAAAGCCCAACTCATTGTCAGGTGATGGCGAAGATGTGGCACCGGAATTGCGTCTCGACGAAATTGCTCGTACATTTGTGTCTAAATGACGAAACCTACATTAAAGAGGGAGAAAGAAATACTCAGCTTGTCTTCATTTGTAACATTTGCTTGAAACGAAAAAATAGAAAACTTTACAAACCGCAATGAAACATTACTCTTCTGCCCTCCATCATCATTGTTACTGTTGAAGAGAAACGCTAAGGGCCAGGAAATCCACGAATTCCGATCCATCGATGTTTGTGTTCTTATAATAGGATTTGAAGAGTGTCCCACTACCGGCGATGTAACATCTAACGACATATTTGGGGTACCTGCCTTATTGATAGCCGGGTTATAGATTTTCGGATCGCTGACCATTCGTACGAAGAATGAGCGTTTCTTAGCCAATGTGTCTTCCTTCTTTCGATTGATGATCTCCGTTAGTTCGTCGTGTTGTTCCTTTTCAAGTAATTCATTGGCAAAATCAACTATGGTTTCCCAGGCATAATCGATGTCATCTTCACAGGCATTTTGGGCCACCGCACAAAATCGTATAATGTATTTATCGTTGACACTAGCAGGAACCATATGCAGTTTACCTGATTCATTGATGGCGCTGAGTAGCTTCTCATTTAGCTTGTCGTTACCTTTCAATCGGAAACAAACCAATCCAAGCTAAAAGAGAATAACCAAAAACAATACTCATGATATGCAAAAAAAAAAAGAGAAATAAGAAAGATCGTTAACTTCGGCTACACCGAAGCTTAATACCCTTCACAAATTAAAATTTTTCCTTACAAGAACTTGATTCTGATCATTGCTATAGAGATTCGATCTAAACAATTACTTCGAAGATTACACCATTGCCTTAGACAATCAGCTATCCCAAATTTTGTGAGGATGACTCGCCAAATGAAAAATTGTTCCATACAAGCACTTGATTCCGATCGTTCAGTTTGTATGCAAGCTAGATGCTATAGTAACCAGATCTGACAATTTCTTCCGACACTGCACCATTGCCTTAGACAATGTGGTATCTCAAATTTTGTGAAGATGACTGATCGTTCAGTTTGGCAGCTATATGCTATAGTGTTCCGATATCAACGTTTCCGGCAAATGAGCAACTTCTTGGTGAGAAGCGGGCGAGAGAAAAATTTCAGATCGATATCTCAAAACCTCAGGCATTAGTTCGTTTAAGGTATAATTAAAGAGTACGATGTGCTTATAATACAACAGTGGTACTCATTTCATGTCGCAAACTTGTGGCATTTATTGCAACTTTGCAAAACAGCTGTTTAGTTGTTATATGCAGTTTATTTTGCGACAAAATTGCAACCATGCGAGACAATATTTATAGTGGCATTGATTATTTTAAATTATTTATAGGAAAAACGACGTCGAATACATGGAGAACATTTGACATATTACAATATTGCGCTAATTTAACTCAAGTTGCGACTTTGCCATTATTACATAATTGCCTCATATTTAGTGTACATATAACAATTTATGAAAGTCTATCGAAATCAATACGATATACGGCATATTATGTAATGTTTCACCAATTCATCAAGGCGGTTCCAACCAACGAACAAATTGACAGTAACTACAATCTGTGATTACCTCTCAAATAAAGTAGGTTAGGCCACAGTGCTAACCAGTCAATTGATCTGTTAATCAATTAAAAGCACTAAAACACAATTTTAATAAGTAAGGAAAACGAGTTGGTAGTTATGCGATCTTTGCTTTGATGATTTGACTTAGATATTTCTTTTGAGATCTCGCAAATTTAGTTATATTTTCGGTAGAGAGTTAGCTGAAAGTCTTCCTACTAAGTATATTTTTTTATAGTTCAATTTCGACCAAATGTATTTAAAGATGCTTAACTTACAAAACTATTATACTGTACCTTATGTTGCGGCTGTATAAAAGGAACGAGAGTTTATGTGAAGCTAAGTGCGTTAGCCAGACACGGAGGTGAACTTTGAGTTGTACGGTGCCATACGTATGTACTTATGTACTTAACTTATTTACATACTATATGTATATTATAAGTATGTGTAGGCAGATGTTTTATGTGCAGGTTTACACGAAACGAGCGATGGAATCACAAAACTTTACCAAGAGAAGCAAAAATGATCAGCCACCTACAGGAATTAGTACATGTTATATCTCTACATTAAAGCGGGTCACTTCGGATGATGAGGCGATATGTGATCCGTAACTAATTAAATCTTGAATATGGTGTATATATATATACTATGTATATTCCGTTCCGTCGGCCGTTCCAACAAATGAGCAGCTTCTTGACGAGAAAATTTCAAACTCCACTATCTCTACTCCACTATCATACTGATCATTAATATATGTACATATATATTTTATAGGGTCTCTGACGTTTCCTTTTGGGGGTTACAAACTTCGTGGCACACTTAATATAAACTGTTTAAGGTAAAAAATGTATACACAAACAATTTAAAGCTTGGCTCCGACTGCACCATTTTTACTTAGTTGAATGATACACATATCTACTGTATAGAAAATCGGTGGGCGATTGTATATATTCATGGAAAGTGTAAATGGGTTGATATGAGATGGGTTTTCCTAAAACATTCAATCCAAAAAAGAGTTTTTGAACTCGGTTCAAATGTTTATTATTTTTTTACTTCCAAAACATGTTGCCACATAGTATAATAGTTTTGTTCACCTAACAATTCTTTCGAACACCCAAAACTAATGGAGGTAGACATAGATTTATCATTAGATAGTGCTTTTCTTAAAAATGTGGTTTTCAAGAGTAAATAAAACGCATATAACTCAATGTTACGGCCAGGATTTGGCTTTATTATAAAGATAAGAGTTTGCCATAATGTTTTGAAACTTACTTCGGTAGTGACTGCCGCGGCCAACTTGGAATAATTCTATTCGAGAAGTCAAATTTTCGACCACTTTTTACAACAGTTTCTTCCATAGGCCCAATATACCTGATGTGGTGATTTCCCACTTTAAACCTGACTTAGAACCCTGATATAGTGTATTCCGGATTTCGATCTAATTTTATGGTAAACAATTGCTCAAAATGTGTGATTTTTTAATAAAGTAAGTGGACATGTTTTCTTAAACATTATGTGGTTTAGTTCTAAATTAGATCGAAATCTCATATCCCTAATATTATCAATATTATATATTCTTACGAAACATGTTTATACTCTTGCAGAATGTTGCTACAGAGTATAATAGTTTTGTTCAGCTAACGAATGTACGTATTACTAATCGATATAGATATAGGATTATGCAGGGTGCGTTCAAAAGTAAACAGGACTTAAAAAAATAGAACAAATGGTTTTATCGGCAAATTCTATTTATTTTATTCAATAGTCTCCTTCTGCTTCAATACAGCTTTTCGCATGGTCCAACAGCATGTCGAACAAGTGTTTTAGATCGTTGGCTAGTACGGCCACCAGTATGCCAGTGCAACCCTTTTGAGTGGCCCATACGTCAGCATAACGCCCTCACGTCAGATACAGGATTATATATACCAAAGTGATCAGGGTGACGAGTGGAGTTGAAATCCGGATGTTTGTCTGCCCGTCCGTCCRTGCAAGCTGTAACTTGAGTAAAAATTGAGATACCATGATGAAACTTGGTACACGTATTTCTTGGCTCCATAAGAAGGTTAAGCTCGAAGATGGGCAAAATCGGCCCACTGCCACGCCCACAAAATTTCGGAAACCGAAAACCTATAAAGTGTCATAACTAAGCCATAAATAAAGGTATTAAAATGAAATTTGGCACAAAGGATCGCATTAAGGAGGGGCATATTTGGACGTAATTTTTTTGGAAAAGCGGGCGTTTTTTGTACATATCTCGAAAACTACTATAGCTATGTCAACCAAACTGTGTAGAGTCGTTTCTTTTAGGCATTTCCATATACAGGTCTAAAATGGAAGAAATCGGATAATAACCACGCCCACCTCCCATACAAAGGTTATGTTGAAAATCACTAAAAGTGCGTTAACCGACTAACAAAAAACGTCAGAAACACTAAATTTTACGGAAGAAATGTCAGAAGGAAGCTGCATCMARGYTTTTTTTWWAWATTGAAAATGGGCGTGGCGTCGCCCACTTATGGACCAAAAACCATATCTCAGGAAGTACTCAACCGATTTCAATGAAATTCGGTATATAATATTTTCTTAACACCCTGATGACATGTACCAAATCATCACTTCGATTATCACTTTATCATGCGAGAGTATAAAATGTTCAGTGACACCCGAACTCCCGAACTTAGCCCTTCCTTACTTGTTGGTAAAATAATCGGTCACAAGCGTCGATCGATCTGAGCAATTTTTGGTCGTCAGTGAATTTGTGCGGAACAAACCGTGCACACACCTTTCGTAAGCCCAAATGTTCCAAATTCCATTTCCATGAATTTCAAACATGATTTCGGTTGATTTTTGATGAATTCACGCACAGTTTCGATGGAATTTCCGGTGATCACGGATTTTAACTGGCCGACATGTTCATCATCATTTATGACCTCACGACCACTTTGAAAACGTTGATACCACTCGTGCACTCTGCTACGGGATATGCAATCATCCCCATAAACTTGTTTCATCAATAGAAACGTTTCGGTAAAAGTTTTACTAATTTTAAAACAAAATTTAATGTTGGCTCTTTGTTCGAAGCTCAGTTTCGCACGGATAACACAAACATACTGACACTTAAAACGCAATAACTTCAGTTCCAATCGGTGAAATGTAATGAAATTCGCACTGAACAATCGATAAAGATATTAGATTCTAACGCACCAGTGGACATACATATATATGGTGTGACCAGGCGGCGCTGGATTCAAAAAGTTCTGTTTACTTTGGAACGTATCTTGTATGTACATATATACATGATCAGGATGAGGAGATTAGTGCCAATAGTTGACTTTTTACCGAATACCGTATGTATATGTAATTGAAATTCAAAGAATATCCTCTCTTGATAGTAGTATGTCTATTTGCTACAAATTGGTGGAATCGGATCAATACATCCCTTGGCCCACATATAGCTAATATAAAGATTTTAGAACTTCCGGGTGACTTTGTACCGCATATATTGGCCAAAATGTGAGTTATATTTTGTTTTTCTAAAAACGGTGCACATTGTGCTTAGAGTTAATAAAACCGGGTGTAAATTCGCCTTAGACCCCATATAACTCACAAGTCTTATGTTATTGAAGGTACTTCCCTGACTATACTTCTTTCAAGTTGCAAGTATTCGGTTATACCCGAACTTAGCCCTTCCACATTTGTTCATATTGTAAATGCTACAGCTATTTCTGTCACTCACCTTGACTTGATTACATATCTCGAAGCGTTTATCTTTAAGCACATGCTGTTCGAAACGTTTGGCCAATTCGATGTGACGTCGTATATAGTTCTGCAATCCGGAGATTCCGTAGGAACGCAACACAAACCTATTGAGAACACAAATTAATATTAAATTTTTCATAAAATATTCATTTGTTAGATAAGAAAATTTCCCGAGTCCCTCAATATCAACAGTTAATTTTCTATAATTAAAACCCGTAATAAATGGCATGGTTTGCAGTACTACCTATAATGTGTTGGCTTCAACTAAAAGAGTTTAAAATAGGTATTGGGTATTATTAATACCTAATTAAAGAGATTTTTTTTCTAATTGATTTTAACAAATTCCTGATCAATGATTTTTGTTCACTGGTATGTCAAACGGTGTTATTTGATTTAAACCATTACAACTACATACGTACCACAATTTCAACGAGCGAAAACGTCGACTGAGTGGAACTCCCCAATGACGGTAGTCAATCGCTGCATCATCATAACAATGCTTCAGATACAATGGATCCACGACAAGTGCTGATGTCAAGCGGATTCGATCGCGGACCCACAATGTTGAACAGTCGAAATTTGTTAATAGCCATTTATTGGGATTCGTATTGAATGAATCAGCGTATTCGATACCCTATGCACAACAACAACAATAGAAATGGTAAGAAAATGTCGGCTTAAGTAATTCACACGAACTTTTATATAGTATGTACATACATACATATATAACAGGCATGTGTGTATGGTAGATATGTGGGCAATATTAATAATTTAGAGTACCAATTCAAATTCTGTGAAAATCGCAGGCACTTCAAAATAAATGAGATTAATTGCGTACCGTTAAGAGTGACTTCAATTCGGGACAGATGAAAGAGTTGCCGGCATAGGCGGCATCCACATGCAACCAAACACACTGAAACTTTTTCAATTCCTTGCCAATTTCCTCCAAGTTATCAAAGGCGCAGGAGCCGGTAGTTCCAAGAGTGGTGGAAACGAAAAATGGCACCAAACCTTGCAATTCGTCCTCCTCCATTGCCTAGAGATGATAGCAGTACACAAAATGTGAAAAATGCTGCGTAATGTTTCTTTACATTTTCACCGCTCACCTCACTCACGGTGCGCCCGCGCAAGCTAGCATTTTCGTCTGGCTCCAAAATTCGCAGTTTTACAAAGCTTATCATGGCAGCTTTCTCAACACAACTGTGTGCTTCTTTGGAACAATAGGCGATCAACTTGGAAAGTAAGTGACTTTCCTCGGTAAATGGATGTTGAGCCATAAGACGTTTGAGCGCCTGAGCGCGCGCGGCCAACATGCTGACCAATACACACTCAGAGGCGGAAGTCTGCAATAAAAAATAAAAAGAATCCATTAAGCGTAAGACCCATGTTTTAATAAATATTTTTTTTTTAAATTATAATATTCCCATTTTACTTTCCTGTATAACTCCACCTCCTGTACTGCCCTCCTTTAAAGCTAAAAAATGGTCAGGTAAACCGATTGCTTTTCCTAAAAATATGTAATTTTTACCATATGCATGACTGTAAGGAAATAAAATAAACACCCATACCCAGCCAATCCAACACAATTGTTTCCAGCTCCGTACATGCTGGGCTTGCGGCCCAGGAAAAACCAATGCAACCGATACCATCCCCCAGCATATCCCCCAAAATCGATTCGAATGCATTTCCTGCCGGAAAGTAGGCATGAAACCGTGGATGCTGCCAATGCGTAACACCGGGCATTATTTTATCTTCCACATCTTGCATTATCTTACGCCATTCCTCTGGTTCGAATGGAGCCTCAGCTGTGTTTAAGCGTGTTTTGTGTGTAAAATACATGTCTGAGTACAAGTATACTAAATACATTGAGATTATATTGATTAAAGCTAATATTTTTCCCTACGAACTTTGCTTTTAATATAAAAGTGTCAACTCACTTCTTTTTGAGAGTAGAAACGTGAGTGGGATAGTATTTACAATGGATTTCACCTAATTTGCTTAACAAGTTTTTTGTAACCATTATGGTACGGTGTGATATGTAGTAGTTGAAAATATAGCTAGGTATAGTTATATATCGAAAATATCGGAATGAGACAATGATGATGTTTCAGAGAAAAGTCAACAATTCATACCTCACAAATTGCCTCATTAATGAAATTTGAAAACATGTCAACCTACTTTCTATAAGTCGGAATTTTGCCAATCCAAGAAATATGCGTATCCCACCTCTGCTTGATTTTTTAACGTACATATTGAGGCTGATGCCTAAGTAAATAATTGTTGTGCTTGAAAACTTACATGGTATTAAATGTCTTAGATAGCCGGGTTCGACGCTAGGTGTGACACGTCGATCTTTCAGGGTGTCCAAATATTTGCATATATATTCCACCATCTCTGTGCCATGCTTACGAAATGCTTGACTATCCATATTTCGTGAATGGTTCTTATATCAAGTTCTTCGAGTCTAATGAGTAAAACGCAATAATAAAATATTAATACTATACTAAAAAGCGAATTTGTTAAGATTTTAAATTTACTACAAGATAAACTTTTGAACAGTTTTTCTTGTCACTTTGGAAGTATAGTTATTCAACAAAGGCAATATTGAGCCATATTTACTATTATTCACCCATATTTTACTATTCGACGAAGCTGGCGACAATTAGGACGATTAAGGATTACTTTCTCCTTGCTGATTTGACACCATTTCATGGCAATGGAAGAATGATGTGTGAACGCCAAATCTGGTAAAATTTTACAGAATAGCAGTAAGTCGAGTAAACGGTAGTCTCTTCTCAAAACGCTTTTTCATATACGATATTATTGTGCTCGTAGTAATAAAGGGATGGCTTTTAAGACCACAAGAGCGTATTGCTCGCCAAATCATAACTTTTTGACAGTATTTATCGTTTTTGTATTTATATGTTGCCTCCACATTCCCACACTTATTGCAACATAAAGCTCTTATCCAAGATGTTGATTTCCGCCGCGTTTGACATAACCCGATTTTTTTTTTTTAATTATAATAAATATCTTCGTTACTAATTCTAGATCAAGTGATACACTTTTTTTAGCTCTTCCTATGCTCGTAAGTTTTTTTGTAACGTTTAATCATACTACAAACTGTTGTTTGATTTAATTTAAATTTTTGGATTAGCTATAAATTCGTAACTATTAATTTTCGATGAGCGTACTCCATTTCAGATTTAAAAGAAATGTAATGACATTGAAAATTCCTCTTGTATATATATTATGTGCTCAGATGAACTGAACTTATTCAGAACTTTTGAAAAATAGGGAAGTAGTGGTTCCTACAGTATGTACAGATTTTAAATGTGCAATATTATATTATTAACTTTTATTTAGATCATTAAATAAATACCACAATAATGTATGGCTTTTTTAAAGCTCTTCACGATTGATTGGGAACAAACCTATTGTGTTGTTATTATTATGGTCTAAATCAACGGTGCAATGAAAAAAAGTATTCCGATCGAACCACTAGCATGGATAGAAAATTATAAAGATTTTTATACCCTGTAATACTATGAGAACTGAACCTGTGAAAGATATTATGGTCCGACGTTTAGGCGTTTTTGGGTTTTGTTTAAAATTTATAAAAATTCACACTAAAAATGCGGTTTAATTATAGAAATGAGTTTTTACTTCTGCTTAAAGCATATTGCCTGTAGAAATTTTAAGTTACGATGTCACAAATTTACACTATTTGTCAACTTCATTAAATTTTGTAAAACTATGGGTTATAGATATATTTCGTCGAGAAGGGTTTCTTTTGCTAAGTATGTATATGTAACTCTTTTAATAAATTCTTAATTGAAGAGTCACAGAACTGTCTACAAATGAGTGAATACTAAAAAGTAATATTATATATGGAGAATGCAGGTTGTTAGTTTCTTTTACCTTTGCTGAGGAGTTAACTTTGTACTTGATTTTATATACTACGATTTTATTTGTAGTCCCTCACCAGCTTTAGATGAAACATTTATATTCGTCAGAGTCTAACCGTACACAGACCTTATTTTATCTCCAAAAAGAGGATTGTACGACGTATTTTTTCAACGAACACTATAACTTCCTTTTTATTTTTGTCTCACTACTAATATTATTCATAAGGAGCAGGATATTTTTAATTTTTGGTACTTTGCATTTATTGTAATAAAGAAAATAATTATCCAACACAAACTACCTTTTGACCAGTATTTTCACTTCCTCTGAACGGAGAGTTTTCAGAATACCGCTCGAACTGCTGCCGCAGCAGTAACTGATCGTTCATTTGTGATTTAACCATGATATAACCTCGGTATATTTTTCCGTGTATTGCTTGCCACGCAGCATCCAATCCACCCACAAAACTTCGCACAATTCCAGCAATTATCAAAGGGTGTAAATAATGGAAATAAGGGAAGGAAACGAGACATTTCTGGGTGGAAGTGTTTGCAAGGAATGTTCGTTGCAGTGAAATGAGTAAAATGTTTGTTTCACCGCAGTCATCATTCCGTAAGGTTGGTTAGCTCTGCATACGTCTATATACTTACATTTGATTCATAGAACCACTCTTTATGCTTACAAATTTGTATATATGTATGTATGTTTATGTATGTGAATGTGTATGCATACACACAGTGCTCCAGACAATTTGCTGTTATCAAAGTTGATTCCTCACACCATTTCTATTTCGCATTTTGCGCCAATATTGCTCACATGTATTAGGTTTGTGGTAGTAAATAATTGCTGTTCCGGGGCTGCATTGTACTTTCGTTTTTGTTTTATATTAAGTCCCTATTATGAGGTCAAACATTTAAATAGAAAAACGTGAGAGTATGAAAAAGCGCGGAGTTCGGACTGCGTATTTTTTCTTTCTTGACAATATTTAATATGCAATGCCATACTGACATACATATGTATGTATGTATGTATATATTTGTGTGTGATATGGGATTTGTTTCTCCTTTGATTTCCTTCAAGGGGATCTCGTTCTCAATAATCGAATATACATATATATGTAGGTAAAATATGCGTACTGGTATGAAGCGAAGGACAAGACCTTTTTAGATACCATTTTGGGTCTCGATGCAAACACACAGAACCATTCTTCAAGCAAAACAATAGGACTCTTGAAAATCTATATAGTATATCATTATCCGCACAGAGGCGAAAACGTTGAGCAACTGAAAAATTGTGATGACAACAACAACTTGAAGCGAAGCACGCATGTTATGCACCAACGCTTGGGTCGTTGGTTTTAGTGCTGGAATGCCAGAAAAATTCTTGCAATATAATGTTCGCAAACAACTGAACAGTCTTGAGTTTGGAGTGTCGAGTCTTTGTGTGTGAATGCGAACATACCTTACACATACATCATTGGATTGGCTAGAAGTCAGCTGAAGACCATGGCAAGCGAAATAATCGGAACACACACAGTTGCTTGTATTTCATTAAATTCTTTTAAATGCAACTGCTTGCCCTCTGCCTTCAAATTTCTAATAATAAATTGAATTATTGTGCATGGCATCGATGGCTTTGCAGGCTGAGTCGATGTTATTGTTAACGAAGATACCACAACTTGATGACAAGTCATGCGGCATAGCAAAGCGAATGAGGGCCGGATGCTTGATGGCCTATGAGAGTGAGAGTGTGGGTAATAGCGGTGCGCGTTATTGCCGCTAAGGAATTTTAACGCATTCTATTCGAACATTCCTATCACCTCTTAAAGTTCTGCTTTTTTTTCTGCTATAAAAAGATAGCATAATAATCTTAGCTGAATATTTGAACGAGTGTGTCTGGCATGTCCTTATTGCCAACTCAGATCATGTAGAACTCGTGCTGCATACATCAATTATATTAATGCGGCGAAAGCGTGGGCTCAGTAAATATGTGTATGTGTATATGAGAATATTCGTAAAAACTTGAGCGTGCTTCAAGTGTATAGTGGTTAATCGAACGTCAGTTTCGTTGCCAAACACTTGTAGATTGCACGGAAAAGTTCAATGATGATAGCTTAATTGACTGGAGCGTATTGAATATTCCGCCATTTTCCCAATTACGTTGCCTTCTTTTGCATTACTATTTTTCAATTAAGAAGTAATTTCTTGATTACATGTGTAGATTTGAGAGTTTTTTTTTTTTTTTTTTAATTAGTTGTCTTAGTAAACAGACTAGCACTAAAAAGAAGAAAAAAGTGGGATTTTTCCAACATTTTAATGGCTTTTCAAATAAACCTAATATTTAAATTATTAGTTTCAAAATTTATTAATAACAACAAGAGAAACAGTCTATATATGTACATCCTTCATCTTTTTAATATAATACAATAAATCTACCGAAATTTTGAGCAGAATTTAACCTTATGTATTTATGAACATAGAGATGCTAATCGGTGAAGTTATTTCACAGATAACTACTGTTATACATACATATGTATACGTACAAAAGCAATGGCGTTTCGATTCGTGTTTATTGGCTTACGTTTTATTTTAAAACTTTCTCACGGTAAAAAGTTGAAATTAATTAAAATTTTCCATGAAAGTGATTGCTCTCATTTATTTGAGCCAACAGGCTTCGTTTTCTTTAACCATTCAGTGTCCTTGGCTCTGCTAACCTAATTTATTGCAGAAAATTGTTTTACAAATTCCTTAAACGAAATAATCCACGAAGAAGAGGTACGACATGGCAAAGACATAGCTTGATAGGCATACTAAATTCATTCATTGGCCACCAACTGGCACACCCACAGCTTGTAAATCAATTATGCACCACGCTCTAACGCTTCCGTGCGCACTAGCGACCAGTTGCAACCACTGAAATTGTCACGTGTTTATACCTGTATGTATTAACGAATGGATTTTCTTTATCTTTCCATTGTAGTATTCATTCAAAAAGCAAAGTAAAAAAAAAAAAAAAAACGGTAAAATATGATGCACTATCGGAAAGGTGAAAATATCGAGCAGGAGTTAACCAAAGATGACTTGCCATTCGCTGATTGCATGTCCAAGTTGCCACAAAAGGACTATCTTTGGATGCACGTACGTACATACATACCTACATATGTTTACTGATTTTTTAATGCAAATTTATACACACTTTTGTGTATACTTATATGTGTGTACAATATGTAGGTAAGAGGGGGCACTAAAGTACAGAATGTGATTAACTATGCCAAAAATGCTTTGGACAATGGCGAATATCGAACAGTGGTTTGGAGTGGTGTGGGTGGCGGTGTGGTGAAGACGGTTTCTTGCGCAGAAATATTGAAGCGCAGCTATCCGTTATATCAGTTGACACGCATGGGTCAAGTTACGTAAGTAAGATAATATATATTATTTAATATAATTAAATTTTTAACAATGTACATTGAATATATTTATATACAATTCATGCATTATTTTTAGAAACGAAGAGCATTGGGTGCCGCAGATGGAAGGTTTAGAGCCGATTCTAGCTAAACGAAAGGTGCCCAGTTTACACATACTGATGACGTTGGATCCAATCGATGAGAGCATTGGCGAGTAAGTTCAATTACGTTTTACTTACACAATACATCCTACATGCTGGTCAAAACACATATTCCGACCATTATGATACAACTTCTGTGATTTTACATTAATGAGCCTGTGAAAAAGTAGAACAAGCAATTTTCTAGCGGACATGAGACCTATTCTAATCTTAGTCGGCTGTAAATCGTGCTCATGAAAGTATTACACTAGTCTGCCGAAATAAAAGAATTGTAGTTTCCCTTACTCTTTTGTTTTTGTTGTTGTTGTAGCGGCAGAATTCTGCCGAGTTGACAGTCCTTGGCCGGATAAAACTCCGGGTCCGTTCCGGTCACGTAGACCCGACTGTCGTGGGAACGGTCCCTTACTCTTTTCTTGAGCAACTTTCAAATGAGTACAGCATAGCGTTTTTTTAATTTGCATATCTTGTAAAGCTTTTCAACAAGATGCCATATTGCATTTCCAAGCTTTTGAGTCTCTCGAATGTAATGCCATCCTACCTCTTGTTTCGGCTTTGTTCCACTTTGAATTTAAAACTTTTCTCTGGTATTACGCATCGAATCTGTGGTTAAATTTTTAGCCAAGAATGTTACCCATCTGTTAATACTCATCACATACATATTGAATAACTTTAGAATGGATAATGAAGTTGAAATCAAGGTAACTGTCTGTCCGTTCGTACATCTGTGCAATAGGAAAGTTGTCCGCGTGAAATTTGTGAAATTGGTCCGCGAATTACCTCAGCTTCCATATAATTATTTTCATTACTGTAGAAAACTTTATGTCGAATATGTCAGTCAGAGTGAGTACGAGTTATCTTCATAAACTTGCGTGAAAAATATAAAATTAATTTTCTGTATTTTATCATTTTAATTATCCGTTTTTTCTTCCCACCACAGTATTCAGAAGCCCAATACTACGACTGAGTACTGGAGATGCTCGAACTCCACCACGCAACAACAAAGACAGACACAACAAATAGGACAAAAGAGTGAAGGCTTGAGACAGCGACGGCAACATGAACAAAAACGGTTGTCTAAGGAAAGACCCCAAAGCCAGGTTGCGCGACAAGAGAAGGTAAAGGATTTGCAAAGAAAAGAGCAAAGCGAAAGGCAAGAGATATCGCAAAATCCAAATAAAAATCATACTGAGCTACGACATAATAATGGTAATGGTCAATATCGTCATCAACGAGCTAAAAGAAAGCAAAGTGCCGAACTACAACGGCAATCTGCCCAGGCTACGCAGATGGAAGTTGGAACATTGGCACCTTCTGTACAGACTACTAATATTTCAAGTAGTATAGACACTATGGAATCTTGATTAAGAAATGGATTAATTTGATTTTTTTATGATAAAGTTTAAAAATATTTGGAAAATATACTACAAAGATAGCATTTAATTCTGTTCATGTATTTAACCGTATTTTAGATATCAAAGCAGTAGTTGATGACAATAAATGTTGATGTAGTAGATACAGAAATAACTGGAAAATAGTCATTGGTCCAATTGCCATACAAAAAATGTTGGGTTCCTAGCTATAAAATTTTCTAGGAAAGCTGTGATAAAAATCTGGGGTATTTTCTATTAGGCATTAGATATAAGTTCATAACAAAAACTGCTTTACGTGTAAATTCTAAAAAGGTGTTCAAACTGATATCTTATATGTAGTAAGTATTTTTTATTTTTTAGTTTTTATATTCATTACAGATTTATTCAATATTTTTTCATTTATTGCTGTTTGCTATAAATTTTTTCGCATATTAAATCTATGTATGTTGGATTATGGTTGTTACTTTGCATCTATTGTTAAATAATCAAAACTGGATACTATAAATACATACGTATTTTTTTTTTTGTTTTGTCTCTAATTTGTTGGATGTTTCAATCAGTTTTAATTCATTGGATCATTAAAAAATATTTACTGTATTAAATTTTTTTTTATGTTTATAGGTCTTATATGGATTCATCTTGAGAGATTACTATAAATAAAATATTTCGAAAATGAACAGTACATTTTATGATATATAGTTAACGTTTAGCTTCAGTATGCTATTTAAGCAATTGCGAAATTAGCTAATACCGATAACCGATTCTCGACGAGTGTAGATTAAACAAATCTCTCACGAGAATCATCGCATGTTTCGACAACTAATACATAATTAAAACAATATTTTCGATGTAAAATAAAAAATGTTTACTCTCAACATATATATTTGGGATCTATGAAGTGAAGTATAGGTAGGGCCCAGTTTTGGACTTGCTTTTAATTGCAAACATTACAATTATTACGAATTTATGTGTACTGACACTGAAACAAAGAACCAATTTCTATATACTGTTTTACTTTCTGTAAATAGTAGATTTTTGTTACTAATAGCAAAGGAAAATTTCAAATGCACACATTGCAATTTTCAATCAAATTATACTAAAGCAAATTAATTAGATTTATTATTTTTATTAGAATAAATTCCGCCAATACTCTGCTTAATGTAAAACTTTTGCCGCGGCATTATCAAAGGGATATTAACAGAATACTCTTTTTAATCGAGTTGACCAATCATTTGTTTTGAAGGTTTCATCCTCTTTTATAATTTAAAGTAATAGAACGCATGTGTACTATATCGACAATATATTAAATGTTTTATTTTGCTTCCAGACAATATATGGATTATAGAAGCATAATTTGCCATATTGAGAAAAATTCTACAATGAGGATTTCTCACACATACTGCTCTTCCTTGTTTTGCTTTATTTTGCATTTTCATTACAATTTCGCAAAAAGATTGCTTTGATTTCCGGTCTTTTTTATATTTTCATACATATTTTTCATTAATAAATTTCATTATTATTTTTATTGTGGTTATTATGTTTTAATGACTTGCTTTCAAATTATGATTTTTCTAGTTATTATTGTTTTGTTGTTACTGTTGTATGTGCATTTCTTCAGATCGCACTGTATTGTGTTGGATATAAATATGCTGCATTTGTTTGTTGCATATGCATTTACACACAGTTTCCAAGCTCTGAATATAAAAGCCCTAAGCTTCACTCTCTCCAGGTGTTGCAGTTTCCTCTTCGTTAATTGGAACAATCAGATTCTCCTTGGACATGAGATTATACTTCGTGACGAAATGAGTGAAGCGATGACATAAATATGTTTCAGCCTCAAATTCATCAAATATTCGCCGGTGATGAAAATACGCATGAGAAAATATTCGGTAAACACGACGGCACACGGAACCTAATTTGGTCACTGATGACTCCTTGATTGAAACCCTAGCGAAAAGTGTAAAAATACTGAAATTTAAGCAATAACTTATATAACTATAAAACCTACAATTTTGTAAATAAATATAATAGGGTAATTCAAGCAATGAATAGTGATTTTAATAGCGGGGCACAATAAATGCAGAGAACGCTCAACCTAACTTCTGAATATCTCTCTTCTGACTTTCGCCATACTAATAACTGACATTATATTTACCTGCTGGGAAAGTATTTATTACTATTCAAGAGACATGCTGCGCCGTCCAGTGTATGTCGTGTATAATCAATGGCGGGACATTCTTTTGGGGTTTTATGTGCAGCACACAAAAATATCCATTGATCGGTGGCCGTCATTTGTGTGCAAGTTGTAGGTGAGCATTGTTTTTGCAAACGAACAGCCAGTCCATTTAGTTCCATACAAAATTGTCTATACGCAGAGTAAAATTTAATGATCTAAAAATATTATGTTAAATATTCACCTGAGATGTTCGTATTTCCAAACCCCTTCATCTTGAGCTTCTGGCATTGTCAAAATTAACTCAACATTTGATGGATCACGTTTGATCAGTTGCTGAATGTATTGTTGTACAGCCAAAGTGCTATCCATTTCTTCCAATGGTTCATCCGCCCAGCGAGAAAAATCCTGCAAAGTAAATTCGTTTCTACTTTTCACCATATGCTTCGACTACATGTTAGGTCTAACTCTGATTGAATGGAAACTGTATTCACATAATAAAGACTACTTTAGCACTTTCTTCCTACAAACCTTCGCTTTTGTTCCTGGTCTGTTTCTTCGCAGAATCGTCGCGCTGTCCGCCATCTTCATGTTTCTTTAGACTCTTCCCTTTTTAAGAAAAAAAGAAAGGCAACTGAAGGGTTTGATGCCTATTATGGGCGTGCTAACCAGTTTTATACTACCACTATAATAATATAAATATTTGATAATACGATTTAATTTAATTTCAATAAATATTCGTTCTCAATTTAGTATATTAAGAGAAGTCTTTCATATGGAAAATCTTTAGTTTATCGTAATCTTCTTTCCACTAGTTTTTCGTTTGTGAAAAATTTTGACAACTCCTCCTTTCATTGATTCAGAGTGATTGCAGAGAACGTTTAATACTCAATAATTATACGTTCTCTGGAGATACATTCATTACAGGGTTGAATTTAACGTAACAAAAAATATTATACGTCTCTGGTGTTAATTCGTCTTTGACGTAACATTTGTCCTATAATATTAATTTTATTTATTTATTTTTCGTAAACACATAGTCAGAGCTACTGAATTATATTTTTAATAATTTAAAAAGGTATTATTAATCTTTGTTACCTGTTTTGATTTTGTTTTGCATGTAATTCACAGTTACACTGGTTAACTACCCATAAATAAATATTTTGTGGCACCGTTGTGAACTGCTTTCGTAGTACGAAATCCACATCAAATACGTGTGGCAGCGTTAAGCTCAATAATGAAAATAAAAAGACAAAGGATAGGAAAGTGAGAAGACGATTCTGACTGTAACATAAATTGCGTTTCTATTGTGCGAAAATTAAGTGAAATAACCAATTTTTGTGATATTTACAAATAAGAAAATCAAGAATTCAAAAGAGAAAATGTCGTACGCATATTTATTTAAATATATTATTATTGGCGATACTGGTGAGTCTATAAATTGTTTAATGAAAACTATCAATTGTGTACACAAATAAATTAAATGAAAATTATGACAATGAGTTCTTTTTGCAAAAAGTTTAGCCAGTGCATATTAAACATGGAGTCAAGACATTAATTTTTAACCAAAAAAAAAAAAGACATTTAAAAGTTTTATGTTTTTTTATGCTACACGAATATTAGCAGCTGCCTAGATCATTTTCATTAGTTGATACTCGTGTGATGACGAAAGCAGAGGGGACATGTATGTACCTTGAAAACCTTTTTGGAAAATCGATATTTTGATGTTGTTGCTGTGCTGTGTTCTAGCATACATATATAATACTTAATGAAATTGAACAAAGAGCATCGGTATTGTTCTAAGTTTCCTTATAAATTATTTAATTATATGGTAAAAAATTACAATTTAATCTTTAATATTTGTTGTGATTTAAAAACTGTTAGTCATACATAGTTGAATTTTTTTAAACTTTACACGGTAACATTAACTTAATTTTAAAATGAAAATAATTAAATTTTTGTTTAGTTATGCGAAGCAAACAAAAGAAAAATAACTGTGTGAATAGTACAAAAGATACAAATATTTATGATTCAATTATCGCATATTTATATGAGGACATTATTATTACTAATTATTGTTATTTTCTTCTAAGGTGTCGGAAAGTCATGCCTTCTACTTCAGTTCACCGACAAACGTTTCCAACCTGTGCACGATTTGACGATTGGCGTGGAATTTGGGGCACGCATGATTACAATTGACGGCAAACAAATCAAACTACAAATCTGGGACACGGCTGGCCAGGAAGCGTTTAGGTATAATGTTAAACGACCGATTAAATAAAAATTTAAACAAGTTCGATCTACCTTACAGATCAATTACTCGTTCATATTACCGTGGGGCAGCCGGAGCTTTATTGGTGTATGACATCACACGTCGTGAAACATTTAATCATTTGACTACATGGCTGGAGGATGCGCGCCAACATTCGAACTCAAATATGGTCATTATGCTGATTGGCAACAAGAGGTCTGTAATAAATATCTAGTTCAATAAGTTAATATACGTATATGTATATGAATATTTTGAATTTGCAAAACCTTTTCATTAGCTTTTAGCCCCACATATGAATGATGATTCATTCTCCTACCCTTTATCTCCATTCTGTTTGCACAAACATATACATACATATGATATACATAGAATTATTTACAAATCTATATTTGTATATACCCTCAATGATAAGCTATTATATTTTGCATAGTGATTTGGATTCACGACGTGAAGTTAAAAAGGAGGAGGGTGAAGCCTTTGCACGCGAACATGGTTTAGTATTTATGGAAACGTCAGCTCGCACAGCTGCCAATGTAGAGGAAGCGTTTATTAATACAGCGAAAGAGATTTACGAGAAAATACAAGAAGGTGTTTTCGACATAAACAATGAGGTAAGTAGTAAACTTAAATAAAGATATATTAATATTTATAAATAATATGTAAATAATGCAAATTTATAATATGGAATTTCTTGTATGCTTATAGGCAAATGGCATTAAGATTGGACAACAGCATTCCCCAACGAATCCCTCACTGCCGGGTGCTGGTAATCAAGCTGGATCGGCTAGTAGCGGCTGCTGTTAAGTGGCACTTCACAGCTGCGGCTGAAGTTAGTGATTTTTTCTAACATATACAAAACCAATAACTATTAACTAGATATTTCCTTACTTCACAAGTTTATTATAATTTTGTTTATGTTGTTTTTTATTTTAAATCAACTAAAAGTGAAATGTGTGTAACGAAAACCGGCATTTCAAAATATTCTTATAATATAAGATATGAACGAATCTAAAAAACATATAAGCATATATCAGTAGATCAACAGCACGTAAATAGAAAATCAAAACCAAATAAAGTCGTATAAACTTATTTAACTGGCTATGAGATTATTACAGTTATTGTGGAAAGTGTCCGGAGTTTTAAGCAGAGAAGTTTTTAAATTATGTGCTTAACTGAACTGAACTGAACTGAAAACAAAATATACATACATAAAGCCATTTTTTGCAGTAATAACCAACAGTGCAAAAATAAAGATGGAGTGGTACATTTAAATTTTCAAATTCACTAGAATATTATTTCTAAATACTTAAACTGTTTGTAAGAAAAAGTTACTACTAAAAAAAGTCAATGAATAATAATCTCGGCTCCAACCTTAACGATTATGATTACTTGATAATATATTCGAAGTACTACAACAACTGAAGCTGATGCTACTGGTGACGCGGTGGATTTTTTTTCTCATTTAATAAATTTCGCAAACATCGCGCAAAGGTTCATCATAATTTTAAGCGCTTAAAGATTAATGCGCGCAATACAAGCTATTAGAATTAAACAAAAGAGACAAAAACCAAAAGTGTTATGAGGGCTTTTAAAGATACCAAAACTAAATACTACAAGCATATAATTAAACATTTTAATATAATTATTAATTGGTAATAAACGATTGATCTTACAATACCTAGGAACAATTAAAACATACATATACTCTATAAAAATATGCGAAACAAAAACACTAACACTATAATTATCCAGAAAAAATACGCTGTTTTATATAAGTAAATTCTAAAAACAAGGATTCAAGTTATATTCGGACTTAATTACTGTATTACATGATTACTTTCAAAATTTAAATTTTAAAAGTTATCGGTATACATTTTCTCAAAGGATTAGTTGATTGTCTTATATAAGTATATTATAATATATAGCAGACGTTAACTGCTTGTTTTGTTGTACTAGTTTTTTTTTAATAGTTATGTTTTTTTTTCTTTTGGAAAATTTTAATGGGTTAACAAATTTACACTGGAACTGTAGGTGTGTATAAAAAACATTTGAATTTGTTAAAACAAAAAAATCGTAAGGGCAAAGGCCAATGGTTAAATAAATGAAAAACTTCTCGATTATTTAGATTTGTGGACATATTATTTGTGCTTATAAATTCTAATATATATTTTTTTCTTTTCTTGGTTCCCGTCTATTTACTATAAGGAATGGTTATTTTTAAAATGATTTAAGCGCATAAAATAAATCAATTTATTTAAATACAACCATGAAATATATAATAAATTATACTTAAACTTATAATCCTTACATACCTACATACATATTTACATGCGAATGTTTGCATTAATGCATATTTTTGAATTGATAATTTTACACAAAATACTGCGAACATAATATGGGTTATTGCAGAAAAATTATTTTAAGAGAATTAAAGTTTGATATGTGACCAAATAAAATTAAACAAATAAATACACTTACAATCAGATAAAATGTTTAACATTTTTCCTCCGAAATAATTTTTGTTATGCCGAAGTTACCCAAAAAGTTGAGTTTCTGAAGGTGTTTCTGGGTAATCATTCACTACCTTGAAGGTCCTCTGGATATACACTCGTAGCGTGATATCTTTGGAGTAATTTATTCTATAGTTACATATACTGTATGTATATGTATATATATTCCGAGTCTTGTTCTAGTCTAGTCTAGTTTTTATTTATTTTATTGGGATATTCGTTAGGTGTGAGTTTACATGTCCAATGAATCCCATCTCATCTCATCTAACCTCGCTCGCCCTACACAAATACATACATATGTGAGTTTCTCTAGGAACTAGGAGCACTATGTCATTGAGATAATTTACATACTGTAGTATAAACAGGTGCCGTTTTTAACTTTTCCTATAAATTAATGTACAATTAGATGAATGATAATAAAAAACTAACGTTTATTTCTTCTGAGGTATAATAAATTACAAGAAACTTATCAATTAGAAATAACAAATTTGTCAGCCATAAAAATTCACAATCAATCGGGGCGATTTCATACAAAGGTACAAGACGAATTTTGAATTTTCTATATTTTGGAAACATCACTGGATCTGACTTTCTTTCCCTTCTCGCAGAATTCAATCAGGTAGGAGACCACTCCAGATAAGACTATAAATGCTCCAGCAAAATAGAATGTGTCGTCCCATCTGCAATCCAAAAGCATACAGATTATTCGGTAATGTAAATGGAATTGTAAATTATAATTATTTATTAGCTTGGATTTAATTTTATTATAATAGGTTAGGACTAGAATAAAACCCCAAAATGAGATTAACAGAAAAAGTGCCAAATGTCCGGGTTGAGGTCTTGAACACGTATTTACATACAATTGTAAAGATTTGCTTCAAGTTCACAAAATGTCTTAAAACCGGCAGTACTTGGTTTCTCCCTTAAAAAACCGTCCTTACCTCTTTAAATGGAATATGGTTTCATAAACACAAATTTACATATTTTTAAAAGTTGAATAAAATAAATTATAATATAGGGTACAGACAATCAACAGCACTAGATGTTAAAAACGGTTTTGTTTAACTCACCTCAGCGTCATTTCAAAAATTGCGCCAGCAATTGGTGGCCCCACTATCATACCGACGCCCTGAACCAACAGCACCAAACCATAGGCGCAAGTAAAATCTTCCAAGTTCACAATTCTTACGCAAATGCTTGGCGTAAGCGAATAAGAACTGGCAAATGTGAAACCGAAGACTATACAGGTTAGCAATAGTTCAACATAGGTGTTCACCACGAGTGGCATTAGAAGCACCGCGATTCCACAAACTAAAAAGGTGAATATATTAATGATCAAGAAACAATATATCAATTATAATATAAAAAATATATCAGATTATCTGATTGCGACGCTAACTTACCTACCATACACGCCGAATAGCAGATATTCACATTCATCCAAGAACGATCGCCCACATATCCCAGACCGATCATGCCGATTGTTTGCGCGATTCCAATAACCGAAATCATATGCGCACTCTCCGCTGCTTCGTAGCCGTGAATTTTCATATGCTCCGGCAGATAAAGATATGGAATCATGAACCTATAATTAGGATTACCAATATTAGTCACACTTGATTTCCTTTGTGTGTAAATGGAACCGATTTTTGGTCGTTGAAACTCTCGCTTACCAAATGAACAAAAATAATATTGACAAATTAAATAGTGTAAATTGCGCATCCGCAAATAATGAGAATTTAAACGACGACTTCATGGCGCCAACCGCATATTCGTACCAAGTCTGCAAAACAGGCAATATCATAAATTCTAAATGAGTTTTTTTTTTATAAATTTAAACATCTACTGTATATGTAGACTAAGTTATATTAAAATTACAAACCAATATATATTTCGAAACATCACACGACATTACCATTATAGGACCATACTTGTTCTCACGTAATAACAATAAACTCGTTTCCTTGTTAAAACGCGCACGTAATCCTAATTTTATCTTACAAAGGGTGGTAAATTTCTTCCTCGGTGATACCGTTTACAGAATACATTTTCAAAGAGTTTCATACCTTACTTATGTATAATAAGAAAATGCTAATTTTAAAGGTTGTAAGCCTCTCCCTTTTGGATTATTTTATTTATTATTTTGAGCTATGATAAAGAATATAATCAGAAAAAGGTGTAAAAGTCGCTTCCAAAAAGGAATAACAATGCACAATAAAGAACTGTCACTACTACACTCCTACACCTTTATGGGATTAGTAAAATTTATTTCGTGGCGTCTACCCTCATTTATATCCCTTATTTATTATTTACTTACCTCTTCTTTCACCTTTGCGTATACCGCTGTAGAATGCCGAAAGATATTCGGACAGGAAGTTGTACGGCGAAAATATGGTTTCAAAGTTGTACTACGGTCACGTGAGATATTATTGTGTATTTGAATATTCTTCTGAAGATTGGCACTCGGTATTGAGCTAGTTTGTCGTAGATTCAAGCATGATATCAACTTCATTGGTGGGCTATGAGCTTCTATACAATGTTTGGAGTCTTTGAAAACATCATTTTCAAGCTTCAAAATATTTGTACAATTAGGCAGATTTTTTACATTATCTTCAAAAATTAGTGAAGAACCGTTATTATTTAATCTACGGGCAATCTCATTTGATAACTGCTTATTATACTCGGCATTAATAGATTCTATATTCAACTCTTCGACTTCAATTGTAGTCTCAGTAATGTCACCTATGAGTGCGTTAATTTGGGACTCTATAATGACTGCTGTTTTCTTGGGTCCATTTGATGTCAAAGATGGCATGTTTCCATGAGAAGACGATTTCATATCGTCTCTAAATCGTTGTGACAAATGCGGATTCAGACTTCTGACTTTATACTCGTGGTCTAAATTTTGAGATCTCCAGAGCATCTCGCTATATAAACGTTTCATGTAATTGGTATCATGGATTTCTTTTTTCCCACTTGCATTACTTTTAGTCAAAATGATTTCATTTAACGTATCCTTCGTTGGATTTTCTTTATGGTTTATAATGGAAATGGGAGATATGGGTAAACTTTGTGAACGAGTTTCCTTTTCTAGTCTTTTTTCTCCACTTAACCAGTCAGGAGCACGCATTAACGCACCACAGATGCAAGTGTTCAGCATAGTGCCGGCGAGAATTAATGTGGCTATTCTCCAACCGTAGCTATCAATAAGCCATTGGGTCAGAGGTGCGTATAGTAATGTGCCGATTCCCGTGCCAGATGCAGCAATGCCAGTAGCGAATGTTCGTTTCTTATCAAACCAAATAGCGATTGATACAATTGCTGTTACATATCCTATTCCCAGTCCCAAACCAGATATGATACCAAAGGTCAACATCAACATTTCAACAGAGTTACAAAGTGAGGAGAGACCAAATCCGACGGCTGATAGAAAACCTCCAAATATGGTCATTTTACGACAGCCATATTTATCAACCAGATTCGACCAAATCGGTCCCATTAATAGTGGCACAGAATAAAATAATGAACTAATCCACGCCGTCTTTGAAGCAGATTCTCCAAAGTAATTTAACAATTCGGAATTAATCAGACCAAATGAGAACCCTAAACCATCAGCGATTAGTGAAACAATGAGTGAGGCTACTACAATGATCCAGCCGTAACCACCATCAGGTACCGCTGGCGTCTTCTTATCTGTCAAGCTCGAACCAATCGAGTCGGCCGATTCATTAGAGATAAGACGATTCGACGTTCTCGTGGCATTACGTCTATCAAACATTGTGAGTGTTTCTTTACTAATGGTAGTGGTCAGGCGGTCATTGCCATCGTTCACCCTTATTGGACAGCAATTCAGCAGACGCTCGTTGATAACATGGTCGCAGCTTGTAGAATGTCTGAGAAACTCAACCTCAATATAATCCTGTTGGCTATATGATGTATTACATCTCATTTCAGTTGATGAGGGTATTATCTGACCTATTGTAGTATTTGGGTTGTTTGCGTCTACGATTGGATGTTTCAAAACCATGCTGTTTTCTTACTGATTTTACAATTAGTTGCGAGTCGGCAGTTTAAAGTGACACTGAGATTAAACTTGCTTGTAGGTTTTGTTGAATCCTGTTTACGTTCAATTAAATTGTCACAGGTAGATTCCTCTTGTATTTAGCAATGTAACATAATTAATTTGATTAATTTATTATTTCACTCTACATTTATATTACAGTTCTCAGCACAATCATTTGTAAACATGTACACGCGGTAACGGAACGTCTGAATCGCTCTGATTACTTTCGAATCTAAAACTAATGGCGCACTACGTCTGACGGAATTGGCGGACTTATTGCGACTGCAGCGCTGTAGGTGATAACACAGCTCGGGAAGTCTAATCGTAACTGTGCGCGTCCACAAAAGACGCTGCGCTGAACTGAGAGTGGAGCACTCTGTCGGAACAGAATTTCTACACACCCATATGTAAGTATTTGGTATGTAAGTACAAGTAAGTGATAGTTCGACACAAAGGGAAGACAAGTGCGTGTATTGGACTGATTGAGCTTTTGTTTAATTTAAAAGCCACAAGTATATAAAACATAATTGATATACCTAATACGAGATTACTCTGAATTGTAATGTAGATAGAAAATTTCAATTGAGGTCGAACCAACAATGATCCGAGCCCAAGAAGCTTTTAATTTGAAAAAATGCCAATACGATTATCAATAATGAAAGTACTGATGTTCTCATAACACATTTCTTCTGAGAGAATGCGAAAGTTTGATAAGATAAGAAACTGATTAAAAATATTTTAAACACTTTTGCGAAACTAGAGATTCTGATTTATGCCAATCGCGATTTGGTAATTATTACAAAATCTTGCTGATATATTATAGTATTTTAAGAATGTTTTAAGGTATTTAGCATGCGTGGTGCAGTCAGTGTCAGAAAGTGCTTATTACGATGGGTCTGCATGCTTAAATAGTCAAGGCTAAATTATTTTATTTTATTTTATTAATATTAATTTCTTTGATGTAATACTGTCTCTTATACACATCTAGATGTGTATAAGAGACAGGTGTCAGAAAGTGCTTATTACGATGGGTCTGCATGCTTAAATAGTCAAGGCTAAATTATTTTATTTTATTTTATTAATATTAATTTCTTTGATGTAATATCTGTAGAGACTTCGCAGGACACCTTCCTCACTTTCCCGTAGTACAGAACTAACCGAAACACCGAACGAGTATTGAAAAAAATGGAGCTTGAATCAATTAGTCTGGGCTAGTTTAATTTACTGTTAGGTTCATATACAATTGGCATATATGTATTTACATATGTTAGTATGCTTGTATGGATACCAATACATAACTGAGTGGAAACTTGTTGGTATACTGTGTTCAACTAAGGGAGGCTTAAGTATTTTGTCTTCTTAGTAGCAATGTAGGTAAGATTCATGGAATATTTATTTTTGTATAAGTGCGAATCCTAATGCGAGGAACTAGTTGCTGCCGAGTGGCTGATCGAAACCGAAAAAAAGTAGTTTTCTTAATAATTTTTCTCTTACCTTTCTATACGAAAAACCGGGAATTGGCGACCTCTAGATACGCTGAACGAAAACTTTTCGGAAATAAGGCCTATGAAAATAGTTAGTTAACTGAATACTTGAAGTCCATTAAGGATTTGTTATTGTTTACTTTAAATTCAAAAATTTAAAAATTGTAATATAATTTATTTGTATTGCGTAATTTTATATTTATTAAAACTTTACTGTTTTACAGCACAATGAGCATAAACGTCTGCACGTCCTTATAAATGAGTATTTGAGTGGTTTATACAATATTTTGTCGCTGTTTGTGTAAATGTGCATGTGTGTGAATATCTCTTTCCCTCTATTTTAAGGTGCTAAGTCTATGTCAGTTTACTCCCCTCCATCTTTCTCCCAATACTTCAGCCGGATGTATACTTTAATTCAAGATTACATGTCCAATTGATTTTTATGTAAAACTGTAAGGGTTTTTTGTTAAAAACACATAGTGCGTAATTAAAGACATTTGTGAATCTAAGAATACTATCAGTGTAACCGAAAAACGTAAAAATATTTGGCAAGTATAAGTCAACAATATTTAGATAAATGTTTATATAATGGCATAAAAGTATCTTTTTTTCCTTTTGTGCGCTAACTTAAGTATTAGATGGCTGAGTCTTTAACTGTTTTCTGTTTTCATCACAATATTTTTATATCGGTTTGTACAAAAGGCAAATAAAGGCGAAGGCGATAAATTGCTTTGTTACATGGAACATCTTCGCTTTATATATGTACATAGATGTTAAGACAAACTACATACGTAAAAGCTAAAAATATAATTTATAGCCAATGAACTCGATTATTTAAAGTAAAAAACAATGGGTTGATTAATTAATTCTTCTGAAAGCAGTTTGGTAATATATATCAATAATTGATTTGTGTAAAGTTTGATTGGTTTTATCCCCACAGACATTCATACATACTTACTGTGCACTCGTGTGCTATGAAAAGCTGATCGGGTGAGCGGTATATAGTACTCTTACATACTCTCGCAACAAGTTGCAGCAGAATAAAAACTAACTAATCGAAATTTACATATAATTGTATTATCCATCATATATATAAATTATCCAGATGACGAGACGAGTTGAAATCCGTCTGTCTGTCCATTCGTTATAACCTTTCGAGACCACAGACCTAATCTATCTGTGAGGTAGCTTAATGCAATTCAGACAGCATCTTTTTGTTGTAATTATATGATGTGACATAAAAAAGCCTTCATATTCTACATACATACAAATTTCGTTGTTCTAGCAGACTTTATGCAGAATATGTCTTAAAATTGCATAGAAACATGTCCTCGAGTTCATTTAATAGAGATATTTTAAAGAGAAGAGTTCATTTAAAGAGAATAGAATCTTGATCGAAATGAATATTATGAACAGACTGTGCCAAAACTACGTTCACTTCAACCAGAGCACACTGTATATGTATGTATATTTTATGTGTTTATCTAAAGTACTTTAGAATGTGGATTTGATTTTTGTATATTATATATGTGTATCATTAGTAATATCCACAATATTTTATATATAGTAAATAGTTCTTGAGCGAAATTAATGTTTTTGGATTTTTTGTTATTTGGTTTTTATATCAATATTTTTAAGCAATTCTTCTCTCTTGAATAAATGGACTCACTTAAAAAAAAGTAAAGTTGCGTTGTTGCGTTGACTAGATTCAAATACGATTAATTTTGCGCATTATTTGATTCACGGCTTATTCTTTTATTTCCTGCATATTTATTATGCATTCTGTGTGTAGTAATGATTTCGGTGTGTACAAACACAAAATGAAAACACAGAACGCACAAATTATTGTAAAGGACCAAATAAATGCAATTCATACTTACATTAAATATGTTCGAAATCTATATATTGTATTATTTTTAGAATTTTCTGTTCGTTGCAAAAACCTTCCAACTGGCAGATTGAAAATTAAGAAAATGAAAACCTTTGCCACCTATCTGTCAATTTATTTACAAATCAATCATCAATTAAGTTTTTATTCTTCGTTTTATCAATTTACAGAACACAAATTGGTCTGTTGTACTGGTCTTTGAATTATTTATGTAGGTGTGGTAAAAAAACGTTAAATTGTTGGGTGTGAATTTGTTGATATCACAAAGATACGAAGTAGCTTGGATATCGTGTTATTTTTATAATAATAAATGTGCATTATCTAAGAGTGTATACATGTTCGTTTGCAAATTAAAATTGTTAATCGTCAAGTATGTGAGAACTATTTGTAAGCTTGGTTCAGATTAAATTTAATAAATACATATATACAATACATAAAAATATTATAATGTATGGTATACAGTTGTAAAAAATATGTACATATGTACAGGCATATGTTGTACTTGTAACATAGAAGACTTTGTTGCTATGAACTTTTTATGAAATTTCATGCATCCCCACTCTCTATCAGGGATTCGTAATTTAATGTATTAAATTAGTTCTCTTAGTGTCGGAGACATCACTGTCGCTGCCTTTTTCTCGCTTCTCACAAAATTCTATCAAATAGGAGGCCACACCAGATAAGGCAACAAATACACCGGCAAAGTAGAATGCGTTATCCCATCTGTGAAAAGATTAAATTAATATTTAGTTTAGTTAAGTTACATAAATAATTGAGTGCGTTTAAAAGTACCTAGAAGAGAAGTTTTTACTGCCTATCGACCATCTAAGTGTAATCGACAGAGAAATCACAAATATATACATAAATAAACCTATGCGCATTTCTAATGTTTTTGGAATTTTGGTATAAATTTGTGTATTTGCATACATTTAGGCTCACAACATTTCTATGAAACCAGCAAAATTTTACTTAAACACATTGACGTCAAAGGCGAATCAGAAGTGTGTAGTTATCTATAATGGAAACCGGACATATTGGCGGTTGAAAAAGTCTTTTCGTATTTCGTCAATAAATGTCGTTGCAGTCGTATATCTTCAGTGCTACCAATCACATTGTGTCATACCATATAGTGTTTGAAAAGTGAATTTTAAGCTTCATTTAACCAAAAATTAAATTCGAGGAAGTTGAAAAATAGTTACAGCTGTTCAAAAGTGAGTGAAGATAATGAAGAAAGTCGCTATATTTTGAAGTTTTTGTATAAAAAATGGAAGAATGCCACGCAAGTCACCAATGAAATCTGTGAAGTTTACGAAGTCGATGCTATATCAGTTCGTGTGGCTCACATCGCTAAGGATGTTAACGTTCATCATTATACGGTTTTGACATCTGCGATTCTTTGCTGAAACGAAATGAAATCGAACCATTTCTGAAGCGAATGGTAACAGGAAACGAAAAGTTGATCAAATACGACAATAATGCGTGAAAAGATTATGGTCAATGCGTGACGGAGCTCAACAAATGGTCGCAAAGCCAGGATTGACGCCTCTAAAGGTTATGCTGAGTATTTGATGCGATTGGAAAGGATATGAACTGCTCCGGCCTGGTCGAACGATTGATTTTACATTTTACCTGATGAGATTGAAGCAAGAAATCGAAAAAAAGGTCAGAAGTGATCAACAGAAAGGGAGCGCTTAGCTAGGAAGTTTTGTTGCATCCACCATATAGCCCTGACTTTGCACCATCGGACTACCGTTTGTTTCGGTCAATGCAGAACTCCCTTAATGGAGTTGTAGTTTTTCGAAGCGACCAAAATTCTACATATTTGGCTCATTGAAGTTCATTATAAATATAAAAAAAAATTAAGGGTGATTAGAAATACGAAACGACTTTTCGACTACCCAATATCAATAATCCATTATTCAATATCGGTTAGATTTCACAATAGTAGATATCTATGATTCAGCGTAAGATATTATTTCTCTGGGATTGCGGTTTGGTCAAGGTTGCACTTACCTTAGCGTAATTTCATAAATAGCGCCTGCAATTGGGGGCCCTGCAATCATGCCAACACCTTGTACTAAGAGCACCAGTCCATAGGCACACGTAAAATCATCTAAATCCACAATACTGACCAAAATGCTAGGTGTAAATGAAAATGAGCTAGCGAAAGTGAACCCAAAGATGATGCACACCAACAGCAGTCCAATATAACTGCTTACAAGAACCGGCATTAGAAGCACAGATATGCCACAAACTGAAAGTAAAACAAAAGTAAAAACTCATAAGTATGCGAGTATATATGTATATATATATATATACTTGTATATTTATTTATAAACTAATCCTACAATCCTTATGCTCCCACATTTAAGAGCTTTTTATCTTGTGTGTAGTCGTCATTGAGAATTTCTATGCGATCCTGTTGTGTTACAAACTTAGTCTACTCCACAGGCATTCATTTACAAATTTCATCTTGTTGTTGTTATAGTTTGATTCACATATTTTATAAATGTTATACGTAATACTTTAATTATTAGAATATAAAATCATTTGCCTATTTCTGCATTTCGTACTTACCCACCATACACGCCGAATAGCAGACATTCACATTCATCCAGGAGCGATCGCCTACATAACCCAGACCGATCATGCCGATGGTTTGAGCGATTCCAATGGCCGATATCATTTGTGCGCTGTCCGTCGTTTCATAGCCATGCAGCTTCATATGCTCCGGTAGATAAAGGTAGGGGATAATGAACCTGTGTTAAAAAGAGAAAAAGCAAACTTTCAATCTTTGCTATATATTCGCCAATCATACGAGTATAACATATAGAACAAGCTTTGGTATATAAGGTGCTCAAACAAATATATTATACAACTCTGACGGTGCAGCTCTGCATTAACATGTCTTCTGACGCATATGCAATTGTGAGGTTTTTTCTTTGGTGAAGAAATTTTTCTTTCCGCATAACTCGTATCAGAATTTCTTACTTCGATTGAGGAGATGATAGGTGACGGAGCTCAATCATACCGCATTTTCAAATTTCATGATCATATTGAAATATATTGTAATGACATGCTGGGTTGGTTTTGGATAAAGCATTTATTGTAACCAATCGATTCTTGCAAATACCTACCAGATACGTTTTTTTATATGAATGTGAACTTACTTACCAAATGAATAGAAACAAGGTGGATAAATTGAATAGAGTAAATTTCATGTCCGCGAACAATGAAAAATCAAATACTGTCTTCATTGTGTCGATCATACTCTCGTACCAGGTCTGAAAATATATAATTCTATCAATTCTTCACTTTATTGTTATTTAAAATCAAGAGCATATTGAAATAGTTTCAGACGTAGTGCAGACAATAGAGAAATGAGAGCAAGGATCAAAATAGGGACAAACAGTTTTTACGATTGCTCTTGGGTTGACGTTTTAGTACTCTCCACGTTATATTATATTGGAGAAAAAAGTAAATGCTAACTAAAGTCTCACAATAAGATAGCTATTGGAGTTTTTATGCTTATTTCTACCCTTCGGCTGAGAAAATACTAGGGTGTATTTTCCAGGAGCACAGTGCCGGCTTTTGCCATTGCCATTGACACTGTAATTTGAAAATTTTACAAGGTCTTGACGGGCTAATTGAAGATGATTGAGATAGGGAAAAAGCGCTATTCAAACGGTGAGAAAGTTTCTATTGATAAAGACAACCACATTTGTAGAACATATAAAACTTACGTCTTCTTCTTCTTTCGCGATTGTTGTCATTGAGTTCCGGTATATGTTCGGGCACGACGATGCGCGCAGTCGGTAGCGATGTGTATTTAACATGGCGCCACGATAATGTATGGAGTTGCGGTGTATACGCATGTTCTTGAGGAAGTTGGAATTCCGTAAGGACGTATTATATCGCAAGCTTGGCCGAACCGACGGTTTTTTTGACTTGGAAAGCCGACGCATGCCGCTAATGCTATCGGTGCGTGCACGTTTCGTTGGCTTAGTGCCGGCATCATTTTCCGGTATTCCAATTATTGCCGCATCTTTGTGTGGTTTTCTTAAATTACCATTTACAAGTTCTGTATTACTCTTTTTAATTGACATATAATAAGTCTCATCGCTCAATATATCGACAGAATTGTGCCTCAAGCCGTTAGGTTTAAGGTCCACAAAAGATGTAGTTGCATTTTTTGCACTGAAAAAATTTTCATTCAAGGAGTAACGTGAGTTGGCCATATTGCCATCAATGGGGGAGCTACGTTGGAACTCGCGTGGTTGTGCTATAGAGTTTACACCATCTATAGTCTGTTGCGAAGAAAACGACGTACTCGATGGTGTAGCGCGACCAATTTTTTCAGAGGGCGAGAGTGTTTCTATCGAAGCCAAGAAACTCTTTCTCGCATCTTCAGCAGCTGTTTCAGCAATACCGCCCATCATTGTGTCATCGGGGGATCCAATAATGGCTGCTGTTGGATTGGGCCCAGTTGAAGACATAGATAACAGATTTTCTCGTGAAGGTGCTTCCATTCCTTCTTTATTTCTCAGTGAACGCCTACTGAGGCTCTTGATTTCGTAAACGCATTCCAAATCTTGAGAAGCTAAAAACGTCGGTAAGAAGATTTCGCTTCGATAGCGTTTCATAACGAACTCGTGTGGATCATTAATTTGTTGATTAGCCTCGGTGTTATTTTTTGTTACCAGCGTGTCAAGCACGGCCTCCTTTGTTATCCCAGTATCTAAGAGTTTTTTAATTTCTTCGAGACAAACGCTTGAATTCGAAAATGTGGTCATACTTTGTGAACGGCTTTCGAGACGATTTTCTTCTATTAACCAATCCGGATCACGCATCAACGCGCCGCAAACGCAAGTATTCAGCATAGTGCCCGCGAGAATGAGTGTGGCTCCGCGCCATCCATAACTGTCAATTAGCCATTGGGTTAGAGGTGCATACAAGAAAGTGCCGATTCCAGTTCCAGAAGCACCAATACCAGTAGCGAAAGTTCGTTTTTTATCAAACCAAAAAGCGATTGATACAACTGCTGTTACGTAACCAATACCAAGCCCCAGACCAGAAATGATACCAAAGGTCAACATCAACATTTCCACCGAGTTACAAAGTGAAGAGAGTCCAAATCCGATTGCAGATAGCAAACCTCCAAATATGGTCATTTTACGACAGCCATAATTATCAACCAGATTCGACCAGATCGGACCCATTAATAGTGGTACCGAAAAGAATAATGAACTAATCCAAGCCGTTTTCGAGGGTGACTCTCCAAAGTAATGCAACAGCTCAGAATTGATAAGTCCAAATGAGAAAGACAAGCCATCAGCAATTAGCGAAACAACGAGTGAGGCTAAAACTACGACCCAACCGTAACCGCCATCTGGTATCTCTGGCTTTTTTTTATCTGTTGAACTCGAATCAATCGAATCGCCCGATTCGTTTGATATAAGACGTTTACGTTTTTTAACATCACTCTCCTCCATCACCAAAAAGGTGGTTGTTGTTGTCGTGGTTAGACCAACATTATCGTCATTCACTGTGATGAGGCAATGTTTTAGAAGACGTTCATTGGCACCGTAGTCACCGTCATCCTCACGTAAATTACTTGCCGATAGGTCACAAAACTTTACCTCGGGAAAGAAATCATGTTTAATGGATTTGTTTAGTGGTGTTGTTGTGGGTGTAGGCGTAGGAGTTATTGATGCCACTATTGATTGTACGTCTGTCGGAGTGGATAGGGTCTGATAGACTACATTATCCGTTTTACTTTTAACATTCGTTTGATTCGCAACCATTTTTAGGTTTTATGAATTATTTTGAACAGGATAAAAGATGGATTTTCGGGCTTTATTTTACTGTGTGAAGAATGTTATAAAAACGTACGCGAGTGCCTTATGTGATAACAGACGATGGCTGTTACTATTTTTTCACTAATATTTTCCAATTAAGTTTTTTTTGTGTACGTCGGATTTCGTCTTGAACACAGTGGTTTTCAGCAATTTTTGTTATTGTACTTGGTTTTATAATTGCCTATATTTTTGTATTTCCTTTAATACTTAAATTTTATCTTGTTCTCCGATAAGGCTAGATTCTAACCGGTTCGCTGTTCTGGAGTTTCAAGTCACGACAAACAACTAGCTATTTAAAGTTCTTTTTATAACGGTATGTTGGTGAGAGTTTTAACTCCGGTTTAAATGTCACGCCACGAAACTCACTGTAACAGCGGCTGTGGCGAAAAATATAGCGTTCACGTGCGTGCTTGCACGGTATGCTCGACTTTACACTCAAAGCAGAATACCAACTGTGCACTTCAATGAGTTAAATTTTTGGAGCCCAAGCCGCGAGTTCCTGCAAATAAGCCATAAAACTCATTATATCTTTATTACAGTTCTTTGATTTGCCAAAGAGGGGTGAGATCGAATTTAATATATAACGACATACGTACATACCCTGTTTTCTACAACTTATGTATAAAATGCTTATGAATAATTACATTTATTCTCTATCAATGTTAAAAATAATATATTCGATTAGGTTAGGTTGAGTCAACGACTGATCTCTGAAATAGCTTCAAACAAGTTCTTTGAAATAGTAATGGAATTTCTGAATGATGTATGAACAAAGTGACATGAAATCATAAATCTGCTTGGCCGAATTATTTTTATTTCAACTAGTTCATTTGAATGGTGAGTCGTCCAAAATGTTTTAACCTTAACCTCGTAAAAGAAATATAGCGAAGAGAGAAGTGTTGGGGGGGTAGTTCGTTAAGAATCAAGTAACCATAAACTTGTATGTTGTTGCCAAAGAGTCTATTTATATAAAAATTACGTGTCACTTTGTTTGTCTGGGATTCGGCAACAAGGGCTTCATTAGACAAACGATAAACTTATCGGTGGTACTGCCTTACCACTGCCTTACTACTGACTGTGATTTTCGACTGGACTTGGCGGAAATAGCGTTTGGTCATAAAGGAGATCATCGGACCTATTCTTGAAGCAACCATTTTGAATGGGAAATGTAATTAAAAATGTGATCCTATTGTAGCGTATTTTAGTCACATATTGAGAATCCTTTAGAAGCTTCAGCTTCACATTTGTTTAACTTTCGCCATGCATGTATGTATACATAAATAAATCTCAAAGAAATCTGTTTTCGGTTGAATACGGTGCACTAGTGATCTCCATCTTCTCTGCCCTTTTCTAAATATAGTTGGAATTACTCTTCTCATTGTTCTCTCAACAGACACAACTTTGGGACTGATACTACGGTGAAAAATAGCTCACATAATTCCAATAGATGTTTTATGCGTTTGGAGAAGCTTACTACTTTTTATTTTCCTAATGCTAAGAGAGTCATTATCACTGATTTCGTTTATTATTTTATAGAGCATGAAACATTTTCGTTTATAATTAGTTATCTGGTACATACAAATATGCAACTTTATTGCTGAACATAAAATCGTTTGTTGTGCTGACATTTCAAAAATTTTGATATTTTTTATAATAAACTTTAACACCTCAGTAGTTTCTTTTTAATTAAGCAAGCGATTAACAGAGAAAATAACAAACTTATCATGATACCTTTGAAAGACTGCTTGGGTGAAGGCAACAACTAATTTTCGCAAACCTAACAAATAATAGATAAAAAACAATACCAAAATAAATACAATCAAGACAAGAATCGCTTGAGTTCCCTTTACTCGACCCCCTAAATATTGCGGAATCGTAGAAATTCAAAATAAGCATTAAAATAAACTGTCAAGACGAAAGAAAACAAGAGGATGGCAGATGGCTGGGAGTCGGAATGTGTACACAAATGAATTTAAATAGACCCGGCAGGAAAAAGTGGAAAACTCTCTTTAAAAAATATATATTTTATTGGACCGACCAGGGTTTTTTTTTGAAGCGCGGCCGAAGGTCCGCCCACGCAAAAAGGAGTTCAACGTGAGAAACATCTGATACAATACAACCGGGGTGTGTTTGTTCGATCAGGGCTATTAATTTGAAGCGCCACCGGAGGTCGGCTCTCAACATCTGATCACATTTGACCGTTTGTAGATCTTTCGTTATTGTTAGGTAAATAAATTTTAACAATAAGTTAAATATTGAATTAAAACTGTTTTTTGACTATATAATGTAAAATAAATGTGTACAAACGAATTCATGAAGTGTTAGTGGATATAAAAATGCAAAATATAAGTGCCAAATTAATTTTATATCGAGAAAATACGTACTTCAAATAGTGGTAATTTTCAACTCTAAACGCGAATACTACAAGCTTCCTGCGGCTATAACTATATGTATTCTTGATCTGGAGAATCTCCTCTATCCGATCATACCCATTTTATTCACGAAATCCTGGGACGGTATACTAAATTCTTCAATTATGTTACTCAATGAAGAACACTGCTTGACTTTTTAAGGAACTATCTTCTTAAATATATACACAACTTTATAGTCGTTATTTTACAAAGAAAGTCAGATTTTAAACTGGCTTAAGTGACAAATTTTTATATAATTCAAAAGAGTGACACTAAATCAATTGATGATTGATCGCTAGTGGGTGATATATATATATATATCTATATATATATACAGTTAATGAAAGGACTAACAAAAAATAAATTTTTTGAAAACGTACATTAATGTCTAATGATTCTAATTTACTTAGTTTGTTTTAATAAAAATTAATTTCCAAACAATACAAGGCAAGTTGGGTCCATAAATTGAATAAAATGTTTAAATAATATTTCTTGTACTGTGTAAATGAGAAATTTTTAGATAGGCTCTTTACAAAAAGTTGGCTAGAAGATCGAACTTAGTGTGACACGCATTCACTAAAAGTATTTCCCTGAGGGATGATATACACTGCATTTTTGTGAATTAACGTCAAACTGACTGTCCCTCTCCCCAAGGTTGGTAAATTTAAAGACGTTGATAAATATGAATATAGCCAAAATATAAATTTTGTAGTTAAATCAAGAGAGAAGGCGTTGACCACCTTCAAATAGAAGAACGACGAAAGAGTTATACTCAATGGTGGGATGCCTTTTACCCACTTTTTCGTTTAAAGGCATAAAATCATACGGCTTGGTTGGTACCAAATAGGCATTACGTTCATGCCCTTGTCATACCCTTCCTTATGTCATCCACTATTGTTTTGGGCAATTTTATTACGCAAATTGTACGAGCCGAATGACGTTTGAAGACTTTCACAAATGCACGGTGTATTTCATTCTAAATATTTCTGACGATAAAAATAGAATTTTTGTTTGGCAGTCATTCATACAGTCCACTACTTGCCTTACGTACATTTACAATTTTATAAGCGCAAATTCATATTTCTATAAAATACTAACGGAATAATGTTGTCTGAAATTTCTTGACGATTTTCGTTATCCAATAAAGACATTTTAAAGATATACAATTATTTCTCAATCGAAACTTTGTTTGAAACTTAAAGAGAAAACGTTTCTAAGGTAAGTCCAATACTATAAATAGGCAGACTTACCTCAAGAACTTATTTTTTTCGGGTGACTCTGCGGCCGGGTTGTGTGTTTGCTTTTGTATTTTGTTATATATTAGTTTGTGAGAGTTGACAGCCGAAATAGTTTTACTACGTGAATGATCACCAATGTTTAAGTTGTTACTCGCACTCGCACTCACACTTTCACTTCCAAATTTACTATTATTAGTTTTATTAATATTACTACGTTTACAACAATTAATAATTTTATTACAATCACAGTATATTGGTAAATTAGCACTAATAATTTGTATTATTATTGCGGAGGTACCTCCGATAACTTCGCCATAAGCGCATAAATCTTCAGTTATTTTCAATTCACTAACACTATCGAACTGGTGTTTATTGATCAAAATGTCTTGATTTTCACTGGCGTTTCTTAAACGCGGATCACGTGGTGTGTAGTGTAGAAATACTTTATTCGATTTACTGCCGTTATTGTAAGTACGATGATTGTTCGACGAGAAGGAGTTATTATTAAAAAGCCGTAATTGTACAAAGGCGGCCACCGTGATGTTGTTTTGGTTATTTACTGATGGTATTAATGAATCTAGGGGGGCTTCAGGGATAGCTTCACTGATGCGTGGTGCTGGATTGGTTAACGCTACTGTGGTTGTCTCAATTATAGATTTTATTATATTATTGCTGTTGCTGCTATTGTTGTTATTATTATTGCTTTCTAACACTGTTCTAATAGCTTTTAATATTTTTGATAATATTACAGTTAATTCTGTTCCACTGTCAGTTGCTACTGTTGCTGTTGTTGTTGTTGGCTTATAAAGTGATTTTATGCGAAAGTCATTCATCAAGAATACTAACTTCGATTTAATCGCGTTGTGGAGGAAATGTTGGACGCGTAAATTAATAAGCGATGCAATGAAAATAAATACAATGTCGATGAATAACGAAGAAACCGTCGATGGCGACAACGATGTGGATACTAAAAATGCGATGGGCACACACTCGACTATTAATTGGCTAGAATATTGCTTTGGGTTAAAGGCTACAGTTGTTTCTGGTACACTGCTGATACAACTGTTTTTGTTGTTCTTTTTGTTTCTGCTGCTGCTGCTGGGCGCTAAGGCGGCTGCGAATGTTGTTTCTGCTGACAATTGGTGTCTGACGAGCTTCGCTTTGAATTTGGTTGCACTATTGCAGTGCGGCGTCGTCCGCTCCAACAACGTCTTTGGCAGAATCACAAGCACCGATAGAATCCACATGCGGCAGGTAGATTTCCCTAGGTTGAGCGTATTGACCAATTAAAAATATATACTCGTAAAGTTCACCGAAAATGGCTCAAAGTATTTTACATTAAATTTTTTTGCATAATTTCATTTTTTTTTTTATAACTTTTGTATGATTATTTTTTCATTATTTTGCTTTAGAAAAAAAAACCGAGAACAAAATAAAAAACAAAATAAAACGAATTCAAATGTTTTCTTCGCGACTGTCTCGCAGCAGTGTTGTTTATCTAATAAGTGTGTAAGATTTATTTTTATTTTTATTTGTATTGACTTTTGCAATTCAACTGCGTCTTTTTCACTACGTTGCTTTTGTTATTATTATTTTTTTTTTTTGTTACCACATCTATTTGGCGTGTGTCAAATACACCGGCAATCTTGCTGCGTCGGGTTCATTGTTGAAAATCGGATTTATTCTACAAAGAAGCAAAATAAATTGCAAAAGTATATTTGACGAGCTCGTTGGAATTGACTAATATGCGCCGATAAGCTGGTGGCTGATGCTTTGCACTGCAATTCTTTGGTGATCAACTGTAAAGAACGGTAAAATCAAATATAGGTAACAGATTTTTCATTTGTTTTTAATTATTGATTTTAAATGGATGTATGTATGTAAGTGCGTATATTGCTTTGGCATTCTTCGATTATATAGTAGAATACTTGAAACATTACCTAAATATGTACATACATATGCATGTTTGCAATAAAATTATTGACAACGCCTATTGAATATTAAATTTATATATAAGCGTACTATTATGAAAGGAATGGTTTAATAAAATGGGTGAAACGGTATTTCTGTTAAAGCAGTATGTTCACACTGATACATATACATATATGTACATACATATATGTATGTATATAGACGTTGCTTTGATATTGGTGTAATTTTTTCATTTCCGGAAGCTTTTTTTATATTATGGGTTTGAGACACCACAAGCCAGATAGCGTAAACACAAGTCCATTGATTTGGTGTGATCATCATGAAGAAAAACTGAAACTAAAAGCTGTGCACATTTTTTGAAACATTTTAAGAAATTTGGTCCGCTTATCAGAGATATTTTCATCGAGATATTACCAAAATAATGTCCATGTCCGGTCATTGGATTTTGTATGAAAATGTAATTAATTTTGTCCAGTTATAGCAACCGTCCAGTTATGAGGACTGTCCGAATCGGAGAAATTCACTGTATATCGATCAGAAATTTTGCACTCGTCTGCTTCTCACCAAGACGCTGCTCATATATCGAAACCGCCGATATCGGACCACTGTAGCATTTAGCTGGCATATGTATAAACCGAACGATCGGAACCAAAAGCTTGTGTGGAAGCTTTGTTTTTTGACGAGATATCTTTAAGAAATTCGGCATGGACCATGAAAAGACAATTATACATTCACAAAATTAATTGTTTAGATCCGCCTACTGTTGTACATAGCTTTCCCTATATACTGACCGATCAAAATCAAGACAAAGATCTTTTTATTCTCTTTTATGCTATAAAAAAAGCACCTGTGAATGATAAATTAGTTTCGGTGCAGCTGAAGTTAACATTTTTTCTTTTCTTCATAACAAAATTCTTCGACAACAATTTCTCAAAATTTTCGCTGTATGGCTGTTGAAGCAGTTACAAGTAAATGAATGTAAATACAAAATAAAAGCACCGTAAGCTGCTTTAGTTTTGCACAATACTGTGCACACAAATAACAACGTATGCCAATATTGCATTCTCGCCAATATCCATTCCACTATTTTCAAATACTCATCGAATTATAGTTCACAGCATACAATTAATAAACCGTTACCATACAAATTCGTAGACATGAATTACCCTTACTTCAAAAATAGCAGATTCCGCTTTTCATACTTAAAACATTAATTTTACCATTTTCATTTCACTAGAACCTTGAGCTTGTCTAGTTTTAACTAGATTTAAGTTTGCATTACTTGTTGTTAGGCTTTGAACAAGCAGACTCAATAAATAAAAAAAATTATTTGTTTATATCAGTATTAAAGCCATATCTCACAGCTTATCTCTGTAACCTCATTTATATGTATATAAAGTTGGTAGTTAAATATACAAAAAAAAAAAAGAGTGGTTTTATGAGTTGCATGTAAGAAAAAAATATATTAATTAATAAATTAATTTAATCTGTAACATCAGACATCAATTATATTTATCTTAGACGAAGACATGTCTTAAGAATTATATGTTTACATACATACATACATACATGTCGCTTTTGATTAAGTACAAATACCAAATTTCACATACACTAGCCCCTTAAACTCTGCAACACATCAACACCACGTGACTTGGTCTAAAAATAAAATTATTTTCTATCCTTTATCTTTACAACCGCGACTTTATGAAAAGATCATGACCATATATCATTCATGTTGTTACATTAAATTCGTTCCGATTCCGGTCCACTTATACCCATTCACTAACACGCAAGAAACCCGAATATGTTTTACTGCCCGAAGAGTTATTGTCTCACTCAACGCGCAGTTGCCTTACCGGCATTCTGCAATTAATCTGTTTCGTCATGTGTATTTCTTACTGTTAACCGCCGATAGTACTGCTTGATGGGCCTGCTCCATGCCGTGAGTAACCGTATAACAAGACTGAAATAATTCAGCGCGTTATTAGATCGGCTAAGCGCGGCAAAAAACTATTCTCCATAAAACCATAACAAAGGCCTATGCATATCTACTAGTGCGCGTTTGTGTGAGTGTGTAAAGATGATGATAAGCGTACACGTTCGAAAGATCGGCTGTTCGCAAAAGGGAAGCGAAGTCGACATGGCTAGAGTGCCCCTCCAGTGAAACAACAAACTAAACTCGGGCCTGTCAGAAATTTCATAGTTTGATATACACTTTTCGAATTAAAAATAAACTAGGCTAAAAAGGACTGTTTGTGCTGGTTGTAAATTGAATTTTCAAAGAGCAATTTTTGTTTGACTTTCGCGATCTAATTATTTCATCGTTTTAACGTTAATTAAAAAAAAAGTGTTTATTGAGGTGAGGCTTAATGTACATATGTACAACAAAATTCACCGATAAGGACAGTCATAACCGGAAAGCTCCCATAACTGAACAAAATTCATTATATTTTCATACTAAACCAATTCCTAAAAACGGATATGAATTCGTTACAATGCCCGGACGTGGATATTATTTTGGTAATATCTCGTTCAAATTATATCTGATAAGCGGATAAGATTTCAATTGCACAATTTATTGTTCCCGCTTTTTGTATTTTTTAGGAACCATACCCAAATTGATCATGGCAAACTAATTGATTTGCGCTGGCGCGTTAGGCTCGCTGAGGCTCAAGGGATGGTTCGCATTCTTTTTGTTAGTTTAGTGGAAATATAGTTCTGTATTGGAGCTTCGGACTCTAAGACGTCGTTTTAAACACAGTCCACTCCCCCATATGTGGACCCTCCTCTCTTAGCCGAAAAAAAAAACACTGTGACGTGGGTGTCCGATTATGAGGAATTTCACTGTACACTGAGTGCGTGAAAACGCTTTATAGTTTCAACGAAAAATCGTTGTAATTTGTGGGTTTTGGAATAATTTTGAAATATTATTCATTGTTGAGATTAGTCTATTGGCTGAAAGAGCAGCTCATTGAACTCGATCGCCGTTCAATTCTATTTGCTTAATTTCTCATGTGGAAGCGTGTGTGCCTATTTTTAAGTATTCATTTATTTGCTTATAGTTGTTGACACTAATTTAATAACTTTACTTATCGGCGAACGTCATTTTATGCGAACATATGAATATACATGTGTATGTATGTGGGTTAGTCGTTCGACTATTGTAAAACTTTTAGCGATGGTGATTTTGTTACTATTTCTATTTTCTCTGATTGTTTTGTATGTTCCACTGTGATTAGGGAGGTGATTGTTGTTTATGTATTTGACAAAGGGCCACGCGCCTCACTGTCTTATGCTCATAGTGCGAGAGTGATATTTGAGTGCTTTTGTGAAGATATCGACTTTCTTGGTTTGATTTTGCCGCATTCCGAAATTATTTCATACTGCTTAGGAAAATCGCTTGGTATAAGAGTGCAATTTGTAACAATTAAGGAAGGACTAAGATCGGATATAACCGAACATTTCATACTCAACTTCCTACTTGCAAGGATTAAAAGCCGTTGTAATACTTTCAGGTACATAAGGCTTGTTATTTATGTATAGGGGGGCTTATAACTCGTTTTAATTCATTAACAAATATACAACGTTACTAAGAAAAGTCACTTTCTCAATTTTATTAAGGTAAATCACATATTGGCTAATGTACTATAGGCGGTATAAAGTCACCTGGAAGTTCGAAAATCTTTTTATTAGGTTTTTGGGGGCTAAGGGAAGTATTGACTCGATGTAACCCATTTTTAACACACAGACATACAATATATCTTACTCAAAAGGTCAACAATAGGTACTGGGGTCCATATTTTCGGTACCTAGCGACTTGGACAGGTTTGGTTCGATTTGGACAATTTTTGGTCGTAAGGTGACACAAAAAGCGAATTGTTGCAAAGTCCTATCTTGTTATATTAATTGCTTCATGGTTTGTACTATACTATAATGGATAGTTAATGAATCAAATGAAATTTAAAATTGTGTTCAATGGGAAGTAGGCGAGGTTGCAGACCGGTTTTGCTCATTTTCATGCAGTAACATGAGAATTTCCGAAGAATGCCATGTAATGATTTTTGTTGAAATCGGTCAAGGAAGCCTCGAGATATGGGATTTAACCTAAAGGAGTGTGGTGCCATGCCTATTATCAAAATTTGATTAAGTCTTCTTTACAGCACTCTCCTACCATCTCGGGATTAAAATTTAATGCCTCTGTATATTTAGCTATTGATCTATCGCGCTTTTAGTAGTTTGTAACATTTTCACACAGTCGGCGGAAGTTCTTATAATATTTTCTAAGTGAATTTGGTTATTGTAGCTTTAGTGGTTTAGGAGATATGTACATTGAACCTATTTGAGGGCGGTGGCGCCCACTTTTTCAAATTTTTTTGCCCACAGGTAACCCTAATTACAGTTCGATATCTTAATTTAGTGTTTATATAGTTATGGCATTACCATATCTCAATTTTTACACAAGTTACAACTTGCACGGTCAGACGGACGGACAGACATCAGACAGTCTTGTCATCCTGACTATTTAATACATATTTATATATACAACTAGGTAATACAAACAACCGTTACGTCAACAAAACTATTATACTCAACAGCAAAAAGTTGCAAGAGTATAATTATATGGCGGTGTGCTAATAAAAAAAAAAATAACATTTTAAAGTTGCGTTATTTGAATTATGTCTCTATGCGATACCTTATCTTGAATTTATGGTATGCTCTAAAATTTTTTAGAGGCCGCTTCTTTTAAGAAACTCGAATTAGCTTTCGCACTATCGTTGTTATATCGGCCGATTCGTATTTGTTGTAATAAAAGTTATATTGCATACAGTAATTTGTGATACACATTCTTAAATAATAAATAGATGTA